ATATATACACATATATATACATATACACATATACGTGCATGTGAGCAATTATGTGCACTGTTGTGATGTGTTTTTAAACTTACATTTTCTGTGGCTGTGTAAGAATTCTAACACTGAGACAAACATTTTGACTTTGGTGATAGCATAAATTGAATGTTAAGAAAGAAAAAAAAAAAAAAAAACTGGCTCCAAGGTTGGATACATGCACGCAAGGACACGATTTGGTTTCAATGTGAGGAGGACAGGCCTGGAAAACCCCTGAAGAGTTGCATATGTTGCCACATTTGCAAAACAAATACTTGTTTTTTTTTTTTTTTCAGTTAAAGCTGTTTGCCATAGCTCATGCATAAACTATGATCTCGAATGTCTCCCCATCCTCCATTCATCATGTGTTCCTTGTGCTCCACTGCTTCTACCCCAGCAAAGGCGAGGGTCTGAGGGTAGAGGCTGTCCTTAATTCTTTGAAGACTATCCGTAACTTTCTGCAGAGCCCACTCTGGCTTACAGTCGTCCTTATGGTGAAGACCACAGTCCCCCGTGTGAAGAACCCTGGAACCTTGCGCTACAAGGACCTTAAGTGGGCTTGGAATGCAAGTGCCCGAAAGACGCTGAAGAGTCCAGTCCCAGTTGTAGTCATCGTACGTACAAAACTCCCTGTTGCAGCCCATCAATCTGTAGTAGACCTCCTTGGAGATGGCCATGCCTATGTTGTGTTTGGTGGACAGCCAACCAGAGGTCAACACCTTGTTGGACAGCTTGTTAAAATCTGTCAGGCTGTTGTGGTTACCCAGAGCCAGCAGGTCACAGTCAGGGCAGTTGCGCTTGAGGTACCCCACCATTGATTTATAGAGATGGAAAAAGTCAGGAAGGATATAATTGTCCTCCTCCAGGAATATCACAAATCCGCCGTAGCCCTGCATGGCGTGCACTCGCTCAAACACGAAGTGTAACTTCCACCACCAGTGGTGTTTGGTTTGCGTGATGAAGGCTTCCCTGTAGTGACCGTAGGAGTCTGGGTGTTCAGCGTTGACGCATCCTGTTTTCACAGCCTCGTCCTTGGATATGTCCCGGGGACAGTCACGGGGATCCTGGCCCGGAAACTCGTGGGGGTAGAGTTGAGTGCTGAAGGGGAAGTAGATCTGAAGTACTTTGCAGAAAGTTATCCCTTGAACTATGGCATTAATCTCCTCTGTGAAATAGTCATGGCTGAAGATGAGCAGGAAGCTGTGGACCTCTGCAGCGTTCTGCAAGGATCTGATGAGCAGCTTCAGGTATTCAGGCCTATTATGGACCTGCACAACCACCACCAGCTGTGGCTCCACTGGAAACTTGTCTGCGTTGAGCACACACTGCTTGTAGTTGGCGTTGAAAACCGAACGCGTTAACTCCGGCAAAGAGGCGAAGTTAAACCTCACCGTTTCGTCCGTGTGCGCCGCCTGCCTCCCCTGAACCACGTCGCCGGCTCCACTTGTTTCATTATCCGAAACTAATAAAGCACGCGTGGAAAACAAGAGAGTCACGACAACACAGGAAACGACCAGCAGCGCTATTAAGTTCCTCTTGACAACCCGAAACCTCATTTTTTTAAACGTTACAACAAGAGCCGTGAGCGGAACGAAGACGGTGGAAACGGCTTCTCCTTTACCTCACAACGCATGTCTTCGTCGCGAACTAGTCCGAAACATCGTCTCCTCGGTATAATCCTGTCTCAGTATCAACAGTATCCTGTCACAACCTGTCTGCCCACGTCGTGTGACCTGACGTGTATCCCCCGTGACGGCTGCTCTTCCCCCCACAGACACTGTCATCTGCTTTTCAGCACCTGTAGAGGAAACAAAAGGGGGCAAAACAAACGTTGAGAGTCGCTACAAGAACCGGACAGGGGCACCGTGCGTGTCTGGAGTTACAGGTGCGGGTAAAAGTGTCCGTTTTCGGCGTCTTTCAACTTACCCCAAAACTAGGTGCAGTCGAATGTGTCAACACCAGGAAGAGGACGGTGGCGCTGTTAAAACACGCTGTTAGTGGAGCCGTTCGAACGCTGACGTGTACAGTCCAGCCAACAGCAGGAGAGAGAGCTCCTGTTCAGCGAATCACTGTCTCACCTACAGTCGTGTAATAGGAGAACGACACGCAAACAGCGCCGTTTGAACCGTGAACTTTGTGAGAGTTGGAGACAGGCGCTAAGCGGCGGAGTTTCCCAAACTGGGGGGCGAGGCCTTTCTCAGGGAGCGGAGAATTGCAGTTTTGTAGGAACTGCAGTGTTTTACAAAAAAGTTCAGGGGTGCTTTTGAAGCAACACAGTAGCCGTTATCTATTTGTGATTAGTTTTGAATGTCTGGATATATATATAGAAATATTTTCATATGAAGGTACGCCCAATTGTAAATGCAGTGTATTTTACAATTTATTTATAATAATTTATTTTCATATTAAATACTTTTAGTGTCCTACTCCTTTAATGTGAGGTTAGAGGAATCAGTTACATCACCTTCATTGAATAACAACAATAGGTTGTTGCTCATAAACATGACACTACATAAAATTCTCACACTCACACGCAATGTTACACAGAGAGAAGGACGACATTATAGGAATATAAAATAGCCTAAATAACTACAGTCCTATACTACAGTTGGAGAGAGCAATCGTTTTTAGCTTGGGGACCTTTGAGCTCTACAAAGTAAACATGTCTGCTCAGGTTAAACTGGCTTAATATGGATTTCTTTGATATAGTCAGCCTCACAAAATAACAAGCGAATCAAGGAAATCGGATAACCCAGACATCGGATAACCCAAAGGTAAATGGGCTATGATCAGTTGGTAGCTTTTGTACTCGTCGAAAAGTCCCCGACTCACAATAAAGATTAACAACGTGAAAAAAGTTGTATCAATGTTTTTGTTTTAGATGAGTCAACCGACTGTGTATATTTATAGTTATATTCATGTTTATATTTGTATAAATTATAAACGTTGGGGGATAAATAGAAACTCGAGGACATTTTAAATCAGGTTAATGTACAAATGTACCTCTATTTTCGACACGATAAAAACATTAGCATGCAGTAATATTTCAAATTCCTCTGGCCCTGAGCGATAGCGGAACATCTGAAAGCTAAAACTGAGTCAGCACTGAAAACCCCAAAGGTTTCAGAAAGGTTTTCTACTATCCTCTTTGAACACTGCCGGATCACTTCTAGAGCCCTACGTCATCACATCGTGTGGTAACTTATTCCGTCTTGAGTGTCAACACAGTCATCTTTATTATCCATGTAAAGTTATGTTAGTGGTCCTCGTAAATCACGTTACAGACGGAGGAACACATTGAACCACTCAACCGCATTAGTCAAAATCATACAGTGGACGTGCATTAACTATTATAGCCACAAGGTGGCAGCAGCCACCAACAGAGTCTATTGGCGCAATCGCCAGAGGCAGTGAGTTTTATCCTCGGGCACATGTAGAAGTTGAAGTTGATTATGTGTAAAAATTGATCTTAATTTGAATAACTACAGATTTTTATGCCGCCCAAACACATAGCCCTGTTTCAAACCAATGTCCACTGTGTACGAAAAGTGTCTTTTTCGTAATTTGTATCTGCTAAAAACCTGTTGCTAACACAACACGAACTAAATAGCCCGTCTTCTCTATAGCAGCTGGGAAAGGTCAGGTTTGAACACTGCGTCCATACGGTGAAAAAAAAATTGTTATGCAAGATTTATTTTAAACATTTGTGCACTTCATTACCACAGCTGTATCAAAACACGGATCACCAGCACATTCCCGGGCAGCATTCCTTTGCGGAAACATCCCCACATCTGGATGAACTGTGGTTACTTTCCATGACACTTCTTCTTCTTCTTTACCAGTCAAAACAAGCAAATGTTTCACTGTTTTTAAACCACTTTAAAATTCCATCTCACATAAATGGATGAAGAAGAAAAAAAACAACCCCTCCTTCAACACGAAGAGTTTCGGTGTCAGTGCATTAATGCTGAGATCATTCCAACAAGGGTGGGGTACGCCCTGGACAGTTCTCCACCTCCAGGCCCACACATATAGAGAATAACATCGATCTACACCATATGTGTCGAACTCAAGGCCCGGGGACCCAATGCGGCCAACTCGTCATTTTGTACGACCCACGGGAGCTTAAAAAAAGCATTTAATAAAGTCCACCTGATAAATTACAAGATTGTTTTATTCCACAGCAATGAACAATATTTGTAACTTTAATAAATAATAATCAATTGCAGAAACATTTATTAAAACCTTATGGAGTAGTTACAGCTATACAGTCTTCCGTTAGAACAGGCCCTTAAAGGGGAACTGTATTGCTGACGTGCTGACGTTTGTCTTTGTCAGAAACATATTGGTCCTTCATAAAAACGTTGATACATTTGTTCAGTAAATATGCTTAGATTTAGTTCATTAAAAATGTAGATGCTACAATCAGCTATAGTGATTACTTTTTTTTTTTTTTCATTAAAAATGTAGATGCTACAATCAGCCAAGTGATTACTTTTTTTTTTAAAACAACAGAAAACTTCTTTACCACAATGCTGCGATTGCTATCATCCTACCAACATGTTTGGAATTTTTGTTTTACCAAAAAAAGAAACCTCTACAAGACATGTTCCCCCAGAGAGACAAGGTCAGTATTTTTAGGTTAGCCACGAAAGCAGAGTATATCAACAACAACACATCTGTTTGCTGTTTATTATTGGAAACATAGTGTGCAGCACAGGAATAAAGTTGCAGATGGAAATATCCACACACGAAAAAGTTTACTTTTCATTCACAATTAGCCATTTTCATCTCGGTTAGACTAAAGGCATAGGCTGACAAAGTCAATGCTATGCTGTTATCATTCATGATTACTCCATATAAATGGACATCCTTAAAATTAAGGAAACTTCTCAGTAGGGTTTATGATGTCATGATATAAATTTTCAGTGTTTTATGGTTTTAATTGTTAGCATTTGGGCTTTTCACACAGAAAATTAGTGTTCTGAGTCATTATTCCAACTAGTGCTGTGGAAACACCTTATAAAGGCATGGGCCGAAAGATGATTTTCCATTGAGTTTAAAGGTATCTTTCCACCTTTTTTTTGAGGGGTTAATGAGTGGTCAAACTGCCAATAACAACAAAATAAAAATGCTGAATGTATTTATGGGACAATTCAATAGGGATGAAGGGGTATGAAAGATAGATATGGTATAAAAAAAAATCTAAAATGGGGGGAGGGAGGGGGTAAAATGTTAGTTTCTGAATCAGACCTAAAATGGTCTTCAAAGTCTTCAAAATTACAATTTCCAAAATATCCCCAAAAAAATGTTGTCACGAAATCTGCACCCTTATGTATTTTTGTGCTAAAATTACATCATATACCAAGTCATTTGTGATAAAAATTTAAAAATTAAAATAACATATAGTATATAGTATATGTATATTTATATTTTAACATTAAATAATAATTGTATATATTTTAAAATTAAATGAAATAATTGTATATTTATATTTTTAAAAATTAAATTAAATTAAATTAAATTAAATTAAATTAAATTAAATTAAATTAAATTAACCAGAAGATTAAGCCATATTCCGTCACCAGAACATTTTTCTGCTACATGATTTTTGTGTGTGGTCATTTTAGCTCCAAAATGTGACATTTAAATGAAATGATGACTCTGATTTTAGTCAGAATAACACTGACGCATTTTCTTTCTCATCTCTGCAGTTGTTGTAATCACAAACAGCTGTCTGTGTTTTTTTTTTTACTTCCTGTGACCATAGACTGAATCAGAGTCAGTGAGGCAGCTCTGAGGACACACCGACATTTGTGAACGCCGTCATGGAATATGAATCTATGGCATTATTCCCAGTATTAGAAATTGCTCATTGTATCTATTACATCCTTTTCATGACCGCCTGATTATAACGCCGATGACCTCATCGTGCGCAAATCAAAAACAGAGCAGCGCGGCCCTGCTGGGCTTAGAACAGTTGGTAAGTGTTAGGGGAAAAAGTGAGCAAACTGCAAACATGTAATAGTGTGATAGTCCCAACATGCAGCAACAGACTGAACTATGGACTGATGCCAACACTAAAAAGTAACAGACTATAAAGTCCTGAGAAGACGTACATTCAGAAGTCATTCGTGTGCATTGCTGCACACAGGCCCTCAGACCGTTACAGGAAGATGTCGTAACTTCAGTTAGCATATTGTAAAAAGCGAATGTCCTGACATTCTTCTGCCTTTGGGGCCCCCCTGGCTTTGTGTGGGGTCTCAAACTCATGCTAGCTAGGCCTACTAGAAGCCTCCACCCATGTTATACCGGGTGGGGCTACACTGGATTTATAGTTTTAGGTCATAGGTTTTCAGGTTAGAGGTAACAAAATGGGGGTTTTTTTAACCGCAGAAAACACACTGTTAGTCTCATTCGGGGATTATTACTCTACATAAATTCCATTTATTTCCCAAAGAGGACTCTCAAGTTCTATCTATCTATCTATCTACATATATACATATATACATATATATGTATATATATATATATATATCTATCTATCTATCTATCTATATATATATATATATCTATCTATCTATCTATCTATATATATATATATATCTATATATATATATATATCTATATATATATATATATATCTATATATATATATATATATCTATATATATATATATATCTATATATATATATATATCTATCTATCTATCTATCTATATATATATATATATATCTATATATATATATATATATGTATATATATATATATATATGTATATGTATATATATATTCCTTCTGTATTATACAAGGCTGAGAATATACACTCGGTCACCGAGGCGACCAGCCTGTTGTAGTTTTCTGAGAGGATAATTACACAAAATCTCAGCTGCTCAACAGTCTGTGGTTGCCATTGTTTCCCAAGTACTGCATATTTTCAACAGTGTTTAGATCTGGACTGCAGGCTGTCCAACCAAACAGGAGGGAGTTCCTGCAAAGGACACTGCATTCTATGGCTGTCTGATTTTTCCTTGAATCTTTATAGATCTTAGATATGTCACGATGTTGCTAGTGATTAGATCATTTTATTCCAAGACTTCTAACAAACTCACTGCCTTAATCTGTAACTATTAGTTCAAGAGTTTCCAGAACTTCTTACTTGTATGGATTGTTATGGATCTTGTTTAGAAGTAAATGTTTTATTTTCTTCTTTTTCCGTGTTATGTCCTATTTTGCAGCCAAATCATATGTATAGATTTTCACACTGTATGTAGAGCAGCACTTCTCAAACAGTGGGGCGGGCCCCCATCAGGGGACAAGAAGGACGTCTAATGGAATATGGCACACTGGACATAAGTGTACCAATCCTGTACTGCCTGAATGATAACAAGCCCTCAGTCACTAGGTGGCAGCAACTCACACAGTAGTTTGTACAGATTAAAATATACATGTTATTAGGTTGTCAATAGTTTTTCAATTGGCGGGGATGTGGGTCGATGTTGTGTTGTGTTGTGCAATGTTGGTTCAGATGCAGTAGTAAAAAGTAGTTTTGAGTTACCTTTGTGTGTGAGAGCAAGACAGAGAGACAGCGAGAAAGACAGAGAGAGAGAGAGAGAGAGAGGCAGGGGGGGAGAAAGAGAGAGAGAGTGTGGATGAGAACAGGAGGATCTTGGACAAGTTAGTCAGAAAGCTAAATGTGGAGCCAGTTGTGTTGTGTGCCAGGGTCATGACAAGGCAATGGTGAGAAGTAAGTGAAAGCAGATGAGAGTGTGCTGGTCATGTGGGACAGCCCTGGTTCGACAAGTTGGCTTATCTTTCATGAGAGGAAATGTGAGGAGGTGTGTTTATTTTTGTGCTCGTGCAAACGTGTTCCTGTGCGAGAAATGTTTGTTTGATTAAAAAGTAAAGTTGTTTTTTTTGTTTTTTTTCCCCGGATCTATATATGTGCGTGCGTGTGAGCGAGTGTGTTATTGGGAGTGTTCTGTTAGGGTGGAAACTTGTAATACGTTGTCAATGCTGTAGAGGGCAGTATCAACGCTATGGTCTGTACTGTAGTAGGGATGCAGTCTCTCTCTCTCTCTCTCTCTCTCTCTCTGCCCTGTTACTCACCAATGTATACACAGCTGGAAATAACATAAAGTAACTTTGTTATCTTATGCTAACTTTGCGTAGCATATGCATAGCATAAATAGCATAACTAAATTCCGGTCAACCCAACAGACAAGCATCCTGTTTTTTTTCGGACACTCTTTTTCACATATATTCCTTACTGTGTAAAGACTTGGCTTTGTCTATATTACTCATCCTGTCCACTGAACCAATGTCCAATGTGTCCAAACAGTGAAATCACTGTTTGGACGGTTCAACATTCTGTAGTCTGGGTGGAAACATCAGGGTAAAAGGGTCCAAGACTGGACCAATGATCAGATCGAATTTCAAACGAGTGCTAATAACATTAATTACAGAGTAAATTACTCCCAATTCCTAACATATAAACAACCGTATCATCAGCTACGGGCCATCATTCACACAGCTAGACCACAAATATTTCAAGCTAGCTCATCACAGTGACAGCAGCAAAACACCAGCTTTAATAAAGATTAATTTTGTTCTGCTTAACAACTTCGAACTTTCCCTAAAATATATTGTTAAACACATTTGTTTTCACTGAAGACTCTATGAGATTGTTATAATGTAATTAATGCGACATAGTCTCTTAACCCTGCAAAAAGTGACCATTTAAAAATAGCTTAGCTATTAGCTTAGCTTGTATAAATGTAGGCGTTTGTGAATGACAGAAAATTAAAACTTAACATCGTAGCTTTTATAGGGTTTAAATGCGCAATATATCAAAGATGTAGTTAGAACATAATTAGAACATATCAGAATCATATCTTGATTGGTTCCTATGACTGGGTTCATTGTTCAGACACACCAAATGATTCCAGCACAGGAATTGCACTCGCCCAGAGACGGAGTCTCTTGGAGCGGAGTCTTTTCCAAGCTTCTGCGGTGTTCCAGTAAGTTTTATTAGAGAACTTACCATGCCAATCAACCAAAGATTCTCTTCAATGCTGTTTCTGGAAAGCGAGTCAACATTCCACATACTTCTGATGAGTCTGGTGAGCAGCCTCTTCATGAAACTGTCTCCGTTTGTGCATTTCTCTGGTGAAAAGAACAACAAATGTGTGTCGTTTGTGTAAAAGTTAAACAGTAACCAACAACAAACAGAACATTAGGTTTATTTGATTTCAGCAGCAAGTGAGCCAAGTAATCAATCTTAGAACGTAACGGGAGGAAATAACCTCACTCTGACCCCTGAATGTTAAGTCATGTTTATGTTGTGATGTGGAAGCTAAGTGTGCTAGTTACAAAGAATCTCATAATTGTTTGTGCAGACAAATTAAGCTCCATGGTGACACATGCAATAACTGTTGCCAGAGCGGATGTTTGGACAAAGGCACGCTTTTCCCCTCTCACACTTTTCCTCGCATTTATTTTGTTGATGAGAATCAATTCCAAGTACACTATGCCAGCTGACAGGAAGGTGTTGGTAGGTTTTGTTGAGGGTCAGTTTTTATTTTCCATCCATTATCTATCGCTTATTCCTTTACATGATCACAGGGGGCGCTGGAGGTGGTCTGAGTTGAGTTGACTTTAGTAGTGGGATGAGTACAATAGCGCTCCTCAGACAGCAGAGGGCGTGACGGCAGACAAACTGTTGGCCGGAACTTCTTGTTAAATAAGCTAAAACCAAAGCTAAAAAGCTAAAACAAAACAACCGACCGCAGTTCTTAATAAAATCATATCTTAAAAGGTGTCACTCCGAGTTAAAAAAAGTAAAATGATTAACAATGTTAATACTGATGTAAAAACAAGTTCATATCTCAACCTTTAATGATTTCGCTGTTTAATTTCCGTGTAACTAAAGCTAAAGCTAAGTAAAGCTAAGTCAGTGGTGATCCCTAAGGCCAGCAGACGGCGACATTGTGCAGAACATAAAATAATAATTTTTTTAAAAAACAGCATATTTGGTCAAAATGGAGGAGCAATACTGGGTCTTGAATATATGGGTGTTCTTCGTGGACTGCCAAACAACAACAACAATAATAATAATACTTTGTTGATGTTTTAATAAATAAAAAAAGCGACGTGTGGGGAGTAACATATTGTAAATGTTCAGGCAAAGAAAGCTCATTGAGTACAATCGTTGGAATTGAGCTTTGAGTTGTGGTTGCTTGACGCAAAACAGAGTTTTTTTTTTTAAAGACGTGGCAAAAACAATTGGCTTGAATCGTGGCAGGAGCACAGTGGGATCCAGTCCCTGGCTGTTAGTTAGCGTGATTTATCATTCAGAACAACAGCTGCTGGGTTCTGGAAACATTCACGTCGACGTCAGTTTGAACAATGATGTGTGTGAAGTTTCAGCTCCATGGATTTCAAGTCGATGGACCAAAAGTGATTCCAAAGGACTAATGAGGACTAAGGAAACTGGAAAATTGTTGTTATTGAACCATGATGCATCTTTCAGAATTGTGGCAGTTTGACAAGCTTGAGCGTCAGCCTTGCACAGAAATCTTTCCACTACTTATTGTAACTAAGAAAGTAATAAAACAATCTCATTAATCATTTGAACTTCATTGATCCCACACTGGGGAAATTGATGTGTTAACAGCAGATCTGCTTCATCAGACTGCCAAGTACGTGGTTCCTCTGTGGCTCAAACCCAGGTCTTTCTGCATGTAAGGCAGGCGTGGTAACCACTACACTATGTAACTACTAAGTCAAGAACAGAAACACCCAATTATCGCTGATAGCCTGGGTAAAAAAAAGTGTTAGCATAGGTGAGTGACATAGGTACTTACTGTATGTACATAATGTGCGTTCCGACTTAGGGTCAAAATCGATTTATGCCACACCGTAGAAACAGAACTATGACATACTGTATGTCGATGACCCCCTGTTTAGTCTACTTCATCCATATTTGTCTTGATTTTCCTTTATATTATTAGCATTTGTGATATGATTCGAGGACATTCATATCTCATGTTTTTGGACTATGAAAAATTATTTCGTGTCCCAAAACTCCACTATCCCAGGCCGGCTGCCAGCAGACAATTTTCCCAAGATACATTTTTTCCACAGAAAAAGAAAGAAACCTTTTTATTAAGAATTATTTTAGGTCGACCCCCTTGGTTCGTAGGTCAGGAGAATCCCTTGTGGTGAAATGTGCATTTTATCTTCATTAAATTTGAAGGGTAATGCACTTTAGAACATGCCACGTTCTGTGGGAGTCAAACATGAGTAAAAAGTAAAAAGCGTCCACAGACGTCAAACTGTGTGACTGGACGGAGTTTCCAAATTAATCCTTGTTATTCTTTGCGTCCGAAAAAAGAAGAGAGTTACACAGTCATGCTGATGCTCGGGCTGGTTAGTCAGTGCTTCTCCTCACTCTCTCCGCATTTGGACTGAACCAACTTTCACTGACACACAGTGGCGAGGGTCCAGACCAGACACAAACAGCAGGTCACAGATGACGGCAGAAGTCTTCCAGTAAAACGTTCACACAGGAAGTTTCTCTTACCAAAAAGGACTGGGTTTTTACGTTCACCACTGTCTATGAGATGTGGGAGCCCACCAAGATATCGGCCTGAATCACGGTCTGATACAACCGTGACGAACGCTGCACACACCCTGGAAAAGAGGGTGGATGTCACCTCAACTGACAGTTGGTTCTCAACACTGACACAGTTGAGAACCAAAAATGACTTAAAATACGTATGCGAGTCTCATAAAACTGCAGTATATGGGGGGGTGGGAGGTGAGGTTTCCCAAGGGGTGGCCTCTGCCCCCACCCCCAGAACAATTTTAGAGGGTTAGAATAATGCACATAATTATATTCTGTCCAATAAATATAAATATATATAAATATATATCAAGAGAGAGCTATATATACACAGGGCAACTGTTTAGAGGGCAAGAATAATACACCAAATTATACTCTGTCCAATATATATAAATGTATATTATATATAGATATATAATATATATTTATATATAAATATATAGAGACCTATATATACATGGCAACTGTTTAGAGGGCAAGAAAAATACACCAAATTATACTCTGTCCCAAGTTTCCCAAGTTGTGTTCGTTGTATATATATATATTATATATACATATATATAATATATATTTATATATAAATATATAGAGACCTATATATACATGGCAACTGTTTAGAGGGCAAGAATAATACACCAAATTATACACTGTCCAATATATATAAATATACATAAATGAATGTAAATATATATTTATATTTATTGCAGAATGTAATTGTGTGTTATTTTATATTAGTGTAGTATTCTTGCCATCTAAAACCGTTCCCATATATGTATGTATATATATATATACATATACATGTATATGTAGGTGTGTATATGTATATATATGCGTATGTATAGTATATATAGACATATATACATTTACACACAAAAATATATATAAATATACATATGTGTATATATGTACACATGTGTGTTTATTCAGAGCAGCCTATAAGTAAGACTGACTATTCAGCAATACCAAAAGAACGTGAAATCCAAACATTTTACGCAAACAAAAGCGAGTGCACTTTTTCTTTTCAAACAAAGACGTTATTTATGAGGTTCTGTCTGTTGAAGGAACAACGTCTGTGTCTAATGTGCAAAGCTTTGTTTTCCTGGCAGGCAAAATATATAGTAGCGTCTGCCAGCTCCTAGCGTCTTCTGCAGGTTTTTCAAGTATATTGCCAGATGTCTATTGTTACCGCCTAATTTCTCTGCTTTGTAGGTTGAAACAATTCTGACTAAATGTCTCAACTTCCTTCCACAGTTCCTGACATATTGTTTTAAAAATAATGATTTCCTAAATCAGAATTTCTTTGACAATTCCTGCACATTTGCAGTTCCCCAAGTTGTGTTCGAGGCCACCTACTGGTACTGGTATCTCTCATGTCGCTGCTGAAGAAGATATGAGAAAAACGAGGAAGACACTCCCCGAAGAAAATGTGGCCGAGGCACAGAGAACAGATCACGTAGACAGACGATGGCATTTCTGGAGAATTTCGAGAAAGAAAGAAAACAAGAATCCAGACTGAGGCTCAGTCAAAATAAAGAGTCAGCTGGAATGATGGTCATGCACTTTGTTAGGCTGACATAACGTCAGCCTTTTCATAACGTTATGGTTTTACTGTCATAAATTTAACTATAAATATTATTAGGGCTTTCCGATATAAACTTTTTGCCATTATGCCGGTCTTGTCCGAACACTTAATTTCCGATTCGGATATCAATCGATACCAATATAGGCCTGGTAATATTTATTTATTTATCCGAACAAACCGCTGTATGAGTTGCAAAATAGCTCAATTAAATGAGCTGCAATGCTGCCATCTAGTGACGTTCTCTTTAATATACAGCCATTTATCTCCAAAACTATTTTTAGGGCACACATAATTTGGCGAAACCAGCATTGCGTTATCGGGTTTTCATTATCAGAGGAAAACGCGATAACAATTCTCACAAATTACATAATTATGCTAACATCGGACCGATATTATCGGACATCCATATTTATTATATAACGATAAACTTCTAACATTTTGTCTGCTGCATTATTAAGTCTAAAGTAGTCAAAAACACAACGTATCGATGGCCAACTTGTTTTGTTCCTTCTTTGAACACATAGATGTTTTAATAACTACCTACTAGATGCGTCATACATCATATAAGGAACCCTTATCACCCGTGTGTGTCAGAGATTAATGCCCGGCCTGTCTCTGCCCACTCATACCACACGGTGCCAATGGAAACATGACTTCATTTTTTTTTTTCACCCTCTGACCATATCAGTTCATTAGAGCCAAAACAACCTTCCTATGTCTGAACAAGATTACTCCCATTTGTCAGCCTCATGTATCCTCTGCTGTGGCCAAAAATCCATGTTACCTCACAATAACTATAAATTATTCTAAATAAAACCTTTTTCTGTTCCCGCAATGCTAAACGTTACACATTGAATTCCAAAAATACAAATAAAAACAGCTGGTACATAGTGTACAACATACAGTGCACACAGAGAAACCACATACCCAATGGCGACCTCCAGGTGGCAGCCTGTGAGTTCCAACCAATTTTCTTTAATTTTTCCTTAATTTAATCAACGATTTTTAATAATAATAATAACAATATAATAATAATTACTATTATTATTATTGTTGTTGTTGTTAATAATACATTTTGGTACCACTAATTAAAAAAAATCATATTTGTTCTCTGTTGTACTGTGTCGATTGCTTTCGCATGTGTAACACCGAACGTCCAGCTGAGCACAAACACATTTTCAAACATTTTTCCAAAGTTGGAAAGTTGATAAGAGTTGAAAAAACCATATTGGACTCTTTTGTTTTTGTCTCCATATGACCATAAGTGGTAAAATGTTTCTAATGTGTTTCGGAAATCTAACTGAGTCTAACTGACATTTCTGAAAGATGAAAACCAAATGAAAATGCCCAAATTCTAATAATCTGCCTTTTCAAAAAAACAAAAAAACAAAACATTTGTTTTTACAGTCTGTGTTGACTTTTCTGTTCTGCTGAAGAGAACAAAGGGAGAGAGAGAGAGTGGTCGGTGTGTGTGAGAGAGACAGAGAGAGAGAGAGAGAGAGAGAGAGAGCGAGTGGTCGGTGTGTGTGTGTGTGTGTAACTCTGTGTAACAGGCTGTTCTCTTCTCTGCTCTTCTTTCTAGGGTCAAGGGAAGTACTGAATATTTCTGTCAGCCTGCCAAGATGGACTCCACCGGGGAGTTGTTGAATATACTTCAGATGTAGAGAGAACAGAGAAGGGGCGTTCCTGTCCTTCACTCCTGTTAAATCACTTCTAACATCACCCCAACTTAGTCAGCAGCAGCAGCATTCCAGGTTAAGCCGGAAGCTACCAGCAGGAAATGTAACTTCTCCTGGGCTTTGATAAAAGAGACGCGAACAGTTGTGTTGTAGCACAAACATAAATGAGTTGATTTATTGACCAGTGACTGCCATGGTTTCTGTAACAGTGACTGAAGACCTGCCTAAGACAGTGGTGATAGAAAGTATGACTGTGAACTGTGAGTACACTGAGCCAACTGACTTTCAGCACTTCATTAAAGGCACGGCTTTGATGATGACACGAATGCAATGTTTCATATCATCATCAAATCACACTATCAGACCACTATTAGTAGGATGGATGGATGGATGGATGGATGGATGGATGGATGGATGGATGGATGGATGGATGGATGGATGGATGAATAAATAAATAAATAAATAGATGGGTGGACGAACGGATGAATAGATGGATGGATGGATGAACAAATAGATGGATGGATGGATTATAGATGGATGGATGGATGGACAGATGAGCGAATAGATGGATAGATGGATAGATGATAGATGGATGGATGGATGGATGGACAGATGAGCGAATAGATGGATAGATGGATAGATGATAGATGGATGGATGGATGGATGGACAAATAGATGGACGGATGGATGGATGGATGGATGGATGGATAGATGGATGGATGGATGGATGGATGGATGGATAGATGGATGGATGGATGGATGGATGGATAGATGGATGGATGGATGGATGGATAGATAGATAGATAGATAGATAGATACTTGTTACACAAACACAGAGTAACGTTCACTGCTTCACTGGGGCTGAACTACATCCAACCAATCAACACCATTGTTTGGAGAACAGCTGTAAAAGTGAGCAGAGACAGAGGGCATGTTGGATGTTCTGTACTCAGAGACCCACTGTCCTCCCTCTATGATTTATCACAAACAATACTGTTTGGGATGGAACTAAGAACGTGGCTTTTTGTGCGACCTCTGAAGCACCGCAGCTGTGGAGACATGAGACGATGGGTTTGAAGAGAACCCATCTCCAGCTGATCTTTTTCTCTGGGAGGGAGCTGTTGTCCACATCCATCGCTCCTTTATCAGTGGTTCCCAACCTTTTTTTTTTTTTGGCTTGTGACCCCATTTTGACATTACAAATTTCTAGGGACCCCTGAGACATTTTAGTAGCTTTCCCCTTGTCCAAGTCACGTGATCGCAGCCGTCAATCGGGATGAGCAGGCTGGGATATTTTTAAATGTTGCATTTTATTTGAACTCGAGCTGAAGGAAAATAATAATTTTAATTTTTAATTAAAAATGGAATTACAATTACAATTAAAAGAAAAAAAATAATTTGTTGAAAAAAAATATTTAGCAAAAAGTAAGTAAAAAAACATTTTTTTTGTATTAATTACTAGACATTTCAGGTGACCCTGTTTGAATTCCAAGCGACCCCATGTAGGGTTCTGACCCAGAGGTTGAAAAACACTGTCTTATATCCTTACATCACCACTACTGAGCATTCACAGCAGCAGCATGTCAGCAGCAGTCAATTACCAGTTCACTTCATTTTGTTGCCAAGTACTTTTATCTTGAAAATACACTATCGCTTCACCAGACATACTCCCCCCTCTCTTTTTACGTATATTGTGTCTCACACAAAACAATCAGACGTTGAGCACTGCACTGCTGAAATAAAGTTTGCTGCTTTAACATTGTCTCATATCCTACGCAATCACTCGTAAAACCTCCAGAGGGCACTTCCTGCGATTGACCCAAAGGTTCTACCCTTCCCTCTCTGTGTGCCTCTGTTCAGGACATGATTTGTATCTTGTTCATATCTGCACGAGTCACATGGCGAAACACAATATCCTCAGGACAAGTTCTGCAACACTCAGCAAGGAGTCAAAGAAGAAAAATAAGACCCTGCCAAAACCCACTGAGTGTCCAACGGGGAGACACAAGATTTGGAGGAAAAATGTGTTTACAGCAACGGTGGTGAAGCTCCACCCAGGGCTGGTTGTTAAATACACATTATTAGTAATGTGTTAAATATGTTTATTATAACAAACAGATTTTTGAAAAATAATAAAATTTGTATTCAATTTGTATTCACAGTTTACATACAAATAGAAAGGGCCGTCAGACAGTTTGTATATATGACATCACGATGATGTCATTCATTTTGCAAAACTAGACAAGCCTTGAAAAGAAAACCATTCTATGAAAAAGTATGTTTTTTTTTTTAATAAACCCACACTGGGGAAAGAATGTTGTGTTAGAAACAGATCTGCTGCAACAGTTTGACCCTTGGGAGGCACCAAGTATGTGGTTCTTCTAGAGCATTGTTTCCTAAAGACTGGGTCGTGACCCTCAGGTGTGTCGCAAGAGAATGTTCTGGGGTCATCTCGCATCATGTTTCCCAGGAGTTTACGAATAATGCCTATTGACTTGGGTCGCGAAGTTTTGTGAAATATAGGTCCCCAGAAAAAAAAAGGTTTGGGAAACACTGCTTTAGGCCACACATGTCAAACTCAGGCCCAAGGGGTCAAATCTGGACCATGGTGTATATTTGGCCCACAAAAATATTTACTTTTTTAAAGTCATGGTTTACTTTTCCTGCTTAGAAAAAAAAGATAGAAAGTTTGATCTGCAATTTTTAACATTTTTTTTTTGTTTTAAAGTTTTTTTCTATTGGAATAATTTTGTGTGAAATTTCTTCCAATAAAAATTAAAAAAAAAAAAAAATTGCAACATTATAGCGACTTCCATTTCCCCATTTTCCCAAACCCAATCCACACAACACTATAGAAAACACACAGGAAGTACTCTCAAAATAATTAATATTAAACTTAACCCCAAAAAAATAAAGAATTAAAATTAATAAATAATATAATAAATATCCAGTTGATATACTACTGAATTAATATAATATACTATATATACTACTATAAGTAATTTTCATTAACTTTTATGAGGGGATGTTACTGAGGGAATAATGATAGAGCTAAATGATCAACATGCATGAATCCACGGGGTTCGACCATCACATGGTTTGTAATGTTTTTTTCCCCCAATTACACGAAATGCAAATCACAGCAAAACAGGAGGCTTGCGTTTTAAAAACAATACATATAAAAAAGTTTTTTTTTGACATGGATTTTTTCTGACTGTGTCATTGCATAGAAAATCATCTCTACGGCAGTTTATCTAAGTCAGAAGTGTCAAACTCATTTTGGTTCATGGGCCACATACAACCTAATTAGATGTCAAGTGGGCCGGACCAGTACGATCAAAACATTCCAAATTATAAATTACAACAAGTCCATGTTTTTCCTCTTTGTTTTCGTGCGAAGAAGTACAAGTATAACTGATATTTATTATTTATTCATATTTAATGAAATATAATTTTACCAAAAAATATCATGAAGACAAAGTGTGAATTTTTTTTTATTTTCAAAATTCATCAAGTGCGCCGAACTGAACACCCTAGAGCACTGTTTCCCAAAGACTGGGTCACGACCATCAGGTCAGTTGCAAGAGTTTTTTTTTTTTTGGGCTCGTCTCGCATCGTGTTTCAGGAGTTTACGAATAATGTCTATTGACTTGGGTCGCGAAGGTTTGTGACTTTTAAAATATGGGCCGTATGTTTGACACCTCTGTGATCTAAGTCAACGTTTTCTATGATCAGTGAACTGGTAAGTTACTCATATTTAAACTATGACGTAAACTTAGACTCACGTCCTAATACTGCTGAGGGTGAAAGTCCAATTGAGAAAGCCAATGGTTGTGTATATATACATACGTATATATATATTTTTTTTTTGGTGCGTGTGTGTTTGTGGAAGAACTCACTCTTTTCTCATTCTTTTATCCTTATCAAGCACTGTACATGGAAAAACCTCCCATTTCCTCTTTGGCTGTTGGCAGAACCCTGACAGCTGCAATAGGTCCTCCAGTCTGTATAAAAAAGGTTAAAGATTAGGAAAACGGTAGTTCAAATCAGCACACTCAGGAAGATTCAAATAATAAGGTAGAGAACCGCATGAATACCAG